TCCTCAGTTTTTGTGCCCTATTCTGGTTCAATCATTTCTCCTAAGTTTCGTTGTTGATTAAAGTAACAACTAACCTACACTTGAAACTTGTCAAGCGCCTGCCAACGAAAATATTCATATCACCAGGAAACACAAATGAAACCACATATAACCCATGCCTTCTGCATTACCCATAACAGAGAACAGTTGAATTTCAGATTACTGTTAAGTAGAAAAATAAATACCAGATACCCATGTAACTCCTGCTGCCAGCGTGTGTGCCCAGGGAGATGGAAAGCAGAGAGCGCCAAGGAAATGAGAAAGCCCAAGGCCAGCACGGCACACAGGTGGACATGTGGCAGATCCAGTGGGCTGTTGGACATGGCTGGAAAGTGAGCAGACCCAGGTGGCTGTCTCAGAGAGGCAGCCTGCCAGGGGAGAAGGAGATAAAGGGGAAAGAGGAGGTGCCGTATGGAGATGTGGTTGTGAAGGGGAAAGGGAAAAGAGGGAATTTCAAAGCAATTTCTTTTGCTACAGAAGCAAAAGAACGTAAGACCAACCAGCCATTATCCATTAAGGAGGCCAAACCAAGGGTAGGGGCAAAGGTGAAAGAAGCCTGTGTGAAAATGACACACCCTGGCAAAGTAGAAAGAGTGCAACTAATAAAATAGCAGGAAAAAAGGAGAGAAAGAAAGAAAGGTGATTGTTGGATATGTAATAGGAGGGAGTCAAAGGACATGGTGGGTGTCTCTGTGTGGGTGTGTGTATATGTGTGTGTGTATTTGAGTCAGGGTCTGGTTTTGTTGCCCAGGCTGTAGTACAGTGGCACAATCATAGCTCACTGCAGTCTTGACCTCCCAGGGCTCAAGCAATCATCCCAACTCAGCCTCCTGAGTAGCTGGGACTCCATGCATGCACCACCACACCTGGCTAATTTTTATTTTATTTTAGTTTTAGTAGAGACAGATATCTCACTATGTTGCCCAGTCTGGTCTCAAACTCCTGGGGTCAGGGGATCCTCCCACCTTGTCCTCCCAAAGTGCTGAGATTATAGGTGTGAGCCTGTAATCACCACACCCAGCCAAAGGACATGATTTGAACAGTAACAAAGGAAGACAAAAAAAGGATAATGACACTATTAAAGAATCTTGAAGAAGTAGACAGGAATGAGGCAGGAGAGGGAGGGACACCCACTCAATATATACCCTTTAATATAGTTTTAACTTTTGGATTCTTGTTAATGTTTTATGTATTCTAAAAAACAAAATGTAATTAAGAAGAGAGGAAATTAAATTTGAATACCATCAGAAACAAATGAACTGAACTGAATTTCAAATGAATAATATAACCACACTGAAAGGGAGGGAGGGGAAAACCCAACTTAATAACTTGGAACACAGTGTTTTTACTTTATACTTTTGTCCTAAAGAAAAACACAAATCTGAACCTTTCCTAGCACTGGTTTGGATAGTGTACCAATTTTGTATGCATGGTAAGATTGAACAAAGGAGTTAAAATAATGCTGAGAGCCTGAGTTCTAACCGTACAAAAAGGAAGATTCTAATATGAAAAGGAGAAGACAATAAAGAATCCTGTGGGGCTTGGGGTGTGGTGGAGGTGTTGAGCCTGTGCATGTAGGAGTGTGGAGAAATCCTTCCACTGAAAGGGACCAGAAGCAATGACTCCTTAGTAGCTACTGATACAGGCTAACACCCAGATCTTAGTTCCCAAATATCATTCCCCAAGTAAGAGGAAGTAGAATTCCTTAGAGAAATGCCTGATTTCAGGAATGAGGCAAGGAAAAAGCAAGATGGTCCTGGAACATCTGTTTTTGCTGAAAAAAGAAAGTAAGAAATGATGGGTACATGTCAAAAGGATACAGACACCAACTTAAAGGGGCTTGCCTCCCAAAGCTGGAGTGATTTGAACATCAAAATTATCAGAATCGATGTTTGCATACTAATAAATAGAAAATCACTTACTTGTGGAAGAATGTCAACTCATAAATGTAGATGGAAAAATGGAGTTAGAAGTCACCATATGCAACCACGGTAATCAATGATTTGGTTAAAAATCATTGATGGTTGCTAAAATAGGTAGGTGAAAGTTTGATGAGCAATAGGATATTTTCAGAGCCTTAAAATATCTCCCCACAAATTACTTATTAATTGCAAAAGGAAAATCAGTAACTTTATAGTGGGGAAATTTGACAGATGCTACCTTAACCAAGTGATGAAAGTTAACATGTCCAGCAGCAGGTCCCATGGACATCATGTGGCTGTTATGATGCACTGAGAAGGGCCCAGCATCACCTGTGCACTGTTTCCACTAAATATGTATGAGGAAACTCCAGAGAAGCCCAAATTAAGGGATATTCAAAAAAATAACTGGCCTCTACTCAGAAAGGAGAAAAAAAAAAAAAAAAAGGCAAGGAAGAAGAGGAAATAAGGGGGAAAACAAGGGAAGAAGGAAATAAAAAACATAAGAAGAAAAACTATTCCAGGCCGGGTGCAGTGGCTCACACCTGTAATCCCAGCACTTTGGGGGGCCAAGGCAGGTGGATCACCTGAGGTCAGGAGTTCAAGACCAGCCTGGCCAACATGGTGAAACCCCATCTCTACTAAAAGTACAAAAATTAGTCAGGTGTGGTGGTGGTCGCCTGTAATCCCAGCTACTTGGGAGGCTGAGACAGGAGAATCACTTGAGCCCAGGAGGTGGAGGTCACAGTAAGCCAAGATCGTGCCATTGCACTCCAGCTGGGCAACAAGAGCAATACTCCATCCAAAAAAAAAGACAAACTATTCAGATAGGATTGTGTATTGGAAAAAATTGCTATCAAGGACGTTATTGGGACAATTGGTGAAATTGGAAGAACTGTAGATCAGATTATGGTACTGTATAAATTTCTATTTCCTATATTCCCTGAAATTAACAACTATATTATGATTGTACAAGACAATGACTTTGTTATGAGGAAGTACACATGGAAATATTTAAGGATAAAATGCATCATGTCTACAAGGTACTTTCTAGGTGCAGAAAAGAAATGGGAAGGAATCAATATAGCAGATGTGGCAAAATGTTAACAATTTGTAAATCTTAGGAAAGGATTTGTGGGATTCTTCATACTATCCTTTTGTTTTTTGATACATAACATTTTATGTATTTATGGGACATGTGATATTTTGTTATAAGTATAGAATGTATAGTGATTGTGTCAGGGTATTTGAGGTATCCATCAGCTTGAGTATTTATCATTTCTTTTTTCTCTCTCTCTTTTTTCTTTTTTTTTTCTCTGAGATGGAGTCTCACTCACTCTGTCTTCCAGGCTGGAGTGTAGTGGCATAATCTCCACTCACTGCATCCTCCACCTTCCAGATTCAAGTGATTCTCCCACCTCAGCCTCCCAAGTAGCTGGGATTACAGGTGTGCACCACCATGCCCAGCTAATTTTTGTATTTTTAGTAGAGACAGGGTTTCACTCTGTTGGCCAGGCTGGTCTCGAACTCCTGACCTCTAGTGATCCACCACCCTCTGCTTCCCAAAGTGCTGGGATTACAGAAGTGAGCCACCACGCCCAGCCTATCATTTCTATGTGTTAGTAACAGTTCGTGTTCTCTCTTCTAGCTACTTTGAAATATTCAATACATTGTTGTTAACTATAGTCACCCTACCCTGCTATTAAAAAAATAGAACTTATACCTTTTATTTAACTATATATTTTGTCTAACTGTATATCTGTACCCATTGACCAACCTCTCTTCATCCCCTCTCCCACCTACCCCCCACCCCAGCCTCTGGTATCTATCATTTTATTCTCCATCATTATGACATCCACATTTTTAGCTCCCACCTATGAGTGAGAACATGCAATATTTGTCTTTGTGTGCATGGGTTATTTCACTTAACGTGACTTCTAGTTCTGTCCACGCTGCTGCAAATGACATTATTTCATTCTGTTTTATGGCCAAATAGTGTTTCATTGTGTATACATACCATAATCCATTCATCCATTGGTATAAGTTTGAAATTATTTCCAAATAAAAAGCTTAGAAAAATGGATGGGAAAAAACTATGAAGTTAAAATGTTGATCTGTGTACCACCTAAAAATCATACCATAATTTTGAAAATACTGATTTAGATCGCTATACCCCTACTTCCAAATGTCAAGGAGGACTTTAGAGAAGGGGCAGGTAGAACCACGATTGCTTGGGGGCTCAGAGCGGGTGGTCATTGTCACAGCCCTAGGAAGGGTTCACTGGCACTGTTGAAGATTGAGACAGGAACCTGCAGTGACTGCAGTGGAACCAGGTCACCTGAGGTGGAGAGCAGCTTTATACCATCATTTCATGCTCCTTCTAAAACCTAATAAGCTTCCACTGATTGCTTTTCTTCCCCCTTACTATTCCACATGTCACCCTCATAACCGTATTCAAACGCATACCCACGTGGCTCTAAGGAGGGAGAAAGCAGCACTATTACAAGAGTGTAGGGAAGGGGAGGCTTAAGTATAGTTCAAGTCTTACATTTCTCATTATCTTATGTTCATAAGTATTGACTAACAATGAAAATAACATATTTAGTTTGCATTTGGAATTATGCTTTCATGACTTTATGTCAGATTCCTTTCTGTGGCCTAAACAAATATTAGGCTGTGAGTCTGTGACAGGCCTTAATGAAGTGGATTAAGGCATTTCTCCCATTTACATTTTCATAGAATGAAATAAACATTGTAGTCTTTTTAGGGAACACTGTCACATCAAGCCGTGATTTGATTTTCTACCTGTTCAGAATATCAAGTTCTGCATTTCTTGAAGTTGTCGTGTATTTTAGTGAGCAAGTCGGTAAGACAGAAGTCATCGCTGCAATATTTATAATAGTATGGCGTGAACTTGTCAAAGGACTTCTAAAAGATTGTTTTGGATCCCGAGGAGATATATTTAGTAACTGTATGGAATAAGTTGTCACATAATACAACATTGCATTGATTTATTTGTGTTATTTTTGTATCTTACTGCAGGCAGAGAATTCAGCATTGGCTTTGGAGAATGAAAATCAAAGAGAACAATATGAGCGATGTCTTGATGAGGTAAGGGGGATGGAGAGACTCCTGATCCAAGGCTGGACTAGTTAGGGTTCCCTTAATCTGATCTCAATACATGTGTGTGCCACCAGTCTCCACAAAACATCAGCATTTTCTCCTCCAAAGAAATGTAGTAAACATGTAGCCTTTGAAAAGGAAGGGTGTGTGTATGAGGGTGTGTGTGTGTGTGTGTGTGTCTGTGTGTGTCTGCCTCCCTCCCTCCCTAAATCCTTATATAGGCATCTGTATATTCCTTTTGGTTATTGTTTCGTATTCTTGGGCCACAGTTCACTGTATGATAAATTCTTTCTGTCCAGTAAGTGTGATTCCTTCCAATGAATGAGAAAAACCTCGTCGGGGCATGCTGCATCTCCAATTGGATACCATTTCTGAAAAAGCAAATCCTTGATAGAGTGGGTGGGGATGATGTTCACAGTTGGCAGCCAGAGGAAAAAAAATCAGTAGATTCAGAACAAGCCAAGAAGAGAAAGAGAAGTGAGGAAGAAAATTGGAGCAGAATGGAAGAAGACGGGGCTATACGCATGAGTAAACTGGATAAATATTATGTGATGATAATGAAGAGATGATGGCAAAAATGGTGGGCATTCGAGAGTTTCTGGGAGGCGAGAGTAAAATGGGCTGGTGCTCAGAGCCCACGTCCTCCCCCGCTGTCGCCTCACACCATCAGGGCCCACACCAATCACCGATGCATCGTGTCTCTCCCTGCCGTGATTGACCATTCGCTCCCTGACAAGTTCTCAGCTAGGACCTGTCAGTGATTGGAGTTGTTATTTAAATGAGATCACTTCATTAGTCATCTGTCCAGCACCTTAAAACTTTATTGTGTTCTGGGTGATTCAGTTTGAGATTTGTTACAATGTACCTGATGCAGATTTTAGAAAGAAAAGAAAAACTGCATTCTGTCTGGTTCCAGTACCTTTCCAGTGGGAACTGCCAGTATATCATCAGTCTTTTTCTCCCTACTATCCATGAGGGAAATCTCTTCTAACTCCTCTTGATATTTCTTACCCTCTCCATCCCCCTCTCCTCCCATGTACTGTCCCGTAAGTCAATGGAGGGATCTGTAAGGAACACATGCTCAACTCCCAGCAGTGACGCCATATATAACTCTTGTTCCCTTCAAACTGGAAGCAGTCTGTCTCCTCTTGAGGTCCAGCAGTCCTTGGCGTCTCCCTGCACGAGTGGTTTTCAAAATGTGATCCCTGGGCCAGCAGCATCAGCCTCCCCAGGGCCTCATTAGGAATGCAGATTCTCAGGACCCACGACACACCTACAGAATCAAGAGACTCTGGGGTGGGGCTCAGCGATCTATGTGTCAACAAGCTCTCCCCATGATGCTGACGCACTTGACAGCTTGAGACACTGTCATCATCATATCACTTTGTATCAGTTACTTACACGTAGTTGAAGAACTCTCAAAATGTTCCCAGAAAACTGTTTAATATTAGATATATTAATTGTTTAATAGTCCCAAGCACATACGTTAGTTACTCAAGCAAAATGGTATTTGCAAGTCTCTGCCCTGTCAGGACCTTAAAAGACCAGAATAATCTTGACAATGTCCAAAGTTAAAAGAAACACTAAAGTTAGTTGACTCTGACATGGCTCACAGTCTAGTGAGGCCAGTTCAGCAGCCCTCACTGCCCCCCAGGCTCGTGGTCCAGTCAAAGTTTAGGGCAAGAAAGACCAAAGAGATCCAAGGATATTAAAAGGAACATATAGTACCTTTGGGTCATATATATTGATTAGCAAAGTTTCACTTTAACCTCCTGCACAGAAATTTCTGCCGAGATTTTATGTGCATTTAGAAGTCAGATTTATGTGACTCACACCACAGAAACTTTGTCCCAGTTCTCCCACAGGTCAACCCTCCCTGTCAATCAAAGCACTCACATTTCTTTATGGCAACTCATAGTCTATTTTCTGTGTGTTTCCCATGCCTGCATTCTGTAGGTTTCATCAGAATGTGTGGGACAAAAATATAAGTTATCCACAAAATCATTTCATATAAAGTTTCCACGGAAGACAGACTTTTTAGAGGGAGTATTCCTCTGTTCTTAGTTGCAAAAATTAACTGTTGCCAAAGAGGTGATTTGCAGCAAAGAACTGCCTCTAAGCAATACACATGTTTTGTATTCATGAATACTGACCCCTGATTATACGTGCAGGTTGTTTTATGACTAATTGCATGAGGGTAGATAATTCATTTCCACACATTGTAAGAGAACACTCTCAACGGGGTAGTTGAATGTAGTAATAATGCCAACTGGAAATTCTTTTCAAGGTTTTTTATACTAATTAAACAAACTAACAAGGTAAGGCCTCATGTAAGTGTTTTCCTTGCTAGTGGGTGTCATCAGACATACACAGGTGGATAAAATGTAAACTTCAGATGTTTTTCAGACGGGCACAGTGGCTTATGCCTATAATTCTACGACTTTGGGAGGCTGAGGCAGGAGGATTACTTGAGCCCAGAAGTTTAAGACCAGTCTGGGCAACACAGGGAGACTCTGTTTCTACAAAATAAAAAAAAATAAAATCATAAAACCTAGGCGAGTATAGTGGCACGTGCCTGTAGACACAGCTACTTGGGAGGCTGAGGTAGTAGGATCGCTTGGGCCCAGGAGGTCCAGGCTGCGGTGAGCCATAATCCTGCCACTGCATTCCAGCCTGAGTGACAGAGTAAAACCCCATCTCAAATAAATAAATAAAATGTTCTTCAATCCTTTTTGCACTGACTGTTATTTTCTGGGAAATGAGGAACATATTGAGGATTTGGGGAAGACACTTGAGAATCTGTGTTCCAATAAAAGAGCACATTTATTCAGAAGGTAACAGACTCACATTCCTAGATACACACACATATACCCTGGCTTGCTAGGCATGCACATTCACAAGTGCACACACCCACAAATGCATGTGCACACACCTGTATACAAACAGGTGTGCATGCATACACTTCATCATCACCGCTACTGCTCCCTATCTCATCTCCCTGCCTTGCAGTACAAACAAAAAACCAAGGGATTAATCTTAGAGTTCGGAGGTTTGCATGTTACAATCAAGCTTCTTAGTCTAGCTGTTTGACAGACACTTACTGGCAGGCAATGACTTGCTATTTATTCACAGTATTGCCTTGGCCACAGTTTCTTTCATACCTGCTATTCCCTTGTAAAGAAGTAAAATAACATCCCAAACCACTGCGTTGCACTTCGATGGATTCGGTTGTATCCTGAAAACCTTCACTGGCTGTCAGCCTCACCCAGGTCCTGAGAGCTCATGGCACTCGCAGGCTGGAAGGAGAAGTGCAAGATGGACAGTCGCAGAGTAGGGAGGTACGAGAAAGTCACAGAGCAAATGAGCTGCACTGTGGACTTTGGAAACACAGAATGCAGTCACCAGAGGGCAGGAGGAGCAGCAGGTAGGCGAGCAGAGGAGAGGGCAGAATTGGAAAGGGTGTCTTTCAGCAGAAGGAGCTGCAGCAGGTGAGGTCTCAGATCCAGAACAGCAAGTGCTTCTCCTCCGTAGCTGCTTGGTGGACTTACCTGAGGACCTTTAAAAATACCGCTGGCTGTGTCACACCTCAGAGATTCCCATCTGACTCTGCTTTTGGGCGGAGCCTGGGCTTTCTGGTTTTTTAAAGCACCACAGGAGAGTATAACATTCATCTGGGGTTGAGAACCACTACAATTAGATTATCTGAATGCTGTGCTTTAGAGAGCATTTTCAGAAATTTTCAGTAGAAGGATGAAAGCTCCCGCCGCCAAGTTTAGATACAGTAATAGAAGAGCACAGACCCATGTGGAAGTTTTAAATTAATTCTGATTCCACAACAAAGTCTGAGATAATATAAAGCTACAAGCAATAAAATAAAATAAAATAAAATAAAATAAAATAAAATAAAATAAAATAAA